CCGATAGAATCTGTGTCCGATTGCAAAGATATGTGTCCGATACAAAATGTGTCCGATCGGGAGTATGTCCGATAGGAACGGTGTCTGATCGGGACTGTGTCCGATTGGGGCTGTGTCCGATCGGGACTGTGTCCGATCGGGAAATATTGCCATGTCCGATCGGTTATGTGCGCAATCGGGACTCACTCAAATTATGATCCTAATTCTCTCCAATATGAATGGCATGAAATATTACTGATCGGAATGGCATCTCGTGCGTGCGTGCGTGTGTGTGTGTGTGTGCGCGCACGCGCGCGCGTTTGCATACTGCAAGGATAAGGACCCAGTGGTTCGTCAGTTCTACAGTATTTTAAGACTCAACAGTCTTAAAATACTGCGGAACTAACGAACCACGGGGTCCTTACCAGTGTTGCCAGTCCGAAATTTTGCTTCGTACTAACCAGGATCGTAAAACGTACTAGATTGGAAGCGTTTCGTATTAAAAGTGTCCGATAGGTTATTACCGACTGACAATGAGCGAGATAGCTGTATTGTATTAAATGCTTCTCAAATTTTCTTCAGTTGATATTTCTGGAAAAAATTCGATTATTAATTCTTAATCACTACATAATCCTTAAATATAACAAAATTTAAATAGACGTAGTATAACTTCACGAATTTTTGCGAAAACAAAGGCAATGTTAAAATGTATTATTGTATTTCTATTACTCACAACATATGTATCACAGTAAGTATATAAATATAAGGAATAAACACTATGTAAACCTTTATTATAAAGTATAAACTATACATTCTACATATGTATATGTATTGCAAATCTAAATTTTTGGCTTCTTAGTTTGCAATGTCGACGATGGTTGCCAATTGAAGCATTTCGACTCGTCGAATAAGCCTTTAGCGTGAAGAACTGCCTCACAGGTATCGACATCGAGTCGATTTCTAATTTTTGTCTTCATTAAAGTTAATTGCGAAAACGTTCTTTCTGCAGCGGCTGATGAATGAGGCAGAGATAAAATTGCTCTGATTAGTTTAGTGAGATTGGGAAACATCATCTCATCTAAACTATTTTTTAATGAGCTGATCCTCATCCAGAAACTTACAAAATCCAAATTTGCGTATTGCTTGATATCGTGTACATTCGGTATGCGCCGCCATTCGAAATCGAGCTCATCGTAGTCGTTCTCCTCAAAAAGCTTCGGAAAGTTTTTTGCTGTCGCGACAACGATACTTGGAATAGTTCCATTCAATGTAGTCTCAGGCAAGAAGATTTCGACGTACTTGAGCATTGGATCGTTGAAACAGAATCGATTCTGAATCTGTGAGCACAGTTCTATGTAAAATTCCAATGCTCGAGTCTTAAAGTTGTGAAGATCACCAGCTTCTATGTTGCCTTTACATATTAGGAGCTCTACTTTGGCTCCGAAATACATTTTCTCTAGTGATAAGAAGTGTCGTGGGTTCTTAACTGAGATCTGCTCGAGTGGTGTCTTATCGATATGCGATTGATGTATGAAGTTTTGGAGAATCGATTTAAACAGTTCGGACACGGACTTATTCAATAACGGAATCTTCGGCTTTTCGCTCTGGAACTCCAGATTCAGTTTGTTTACACACTCCAGCGTGTACGATAAGAAGCTGAAGTAGAGTTTATAAACGGGGTTTTTTAAACAATTCAGTATTGTTTCCGTTGAATGCAGATTGTCCGGATTGTTCCCAAAAACTGCGTTCGTGAAATATAGCGTCAGAGCTTCCCAGTGCTGAAGAATTCGGTCGATTGCGGCCTATAATATATTTATGTATCATATATCAAGTCATAATAGCTGCGGTCCACTTGACGCTACAAATGCTTCGAAGTGTTCTTCTTCTCTTTCTTTTTAATAAAGAAAGAGTAGGAGAAGAAGAACGCTTCGAAGCACTTGTAGCGTCACGTGGTATATGCGGCAGTTTTTCGCGCGGCATTGAATGATGGAATTCTTTCAAAATTCTTTTTTATTATATTTAATTACATTTGACGTCGTATTTCTTAATGTGGAAATTAAAAACCTTAAGATTTTTTAAATTTCTGATGTAACTGAAGCTCACCTGAAGAGATAACCATCTCGTCTGACTTGGTCTGAGCATTTTGTGAGGCTCTAGATCGACGAAGGATTGGTACTCGGCTAACTCTTCGATTCTCTTACTGCTGTTCGAAAAATGATTATAGACGCTCCTCGCGAAATCTTCAATAGATCTTGGCAACTTATTTGCAGCTGCCGACGCACAAAGATGAAACGAGTGGCATATACACCCGAGGACGAATATATGCGGCACCATCTCTCGAAATCGCGCTTGTACTCCGCTTATGTTAACCATCATAACCGAGGCATTATCAGCGGCGAAGCCGATCATATTGGCAAAAGGGATCCCGATATCCTCCAAACATTTGAGGACCGTTTTGTGTATGTTTTCGGCGTTAGCGGTTTCCAATTCCACGAGCCCGAGAAATTTATCGACCACACTCATTTTTTTCTCATCGAAAAATCGAATTATTATTGCGAGTGATTTCTTCGTGTCAATGTCAGTCGTTTCATCAATTATTAGGGAATAAACGTTATCTTTCACGCGACGACATATTTCTTCTTTGGCTTCTGGTGCTAGACAATCTTTTGTAATCGCTGTCGCTTTTGTCCTGGAACATTTCATGTTTTGTGCAATCTTTGAGTCAGGACATACGCGCAATGGATGGGAGATGTTCCATCAATAAAGCGGTGAGGAGAAGGCCGCGGTGAGGAGAAGGCCCTCCCCCAATGACAATGGGGGAGGCGGCCTGGGACTGGCGGGCTGGGGTTCCCGTCAGTCCCTGCCTCCACGGAGGCGGGCGGTAGAGGTCGTGGACGCCTCTGCCGCCCAAGAGAGTAGAGGGCTCCCCCCTGCGGGGAGGAGTCCCCCCTCCCCCACACCAACGTGGGAGGGAGCGCAGAAGCCCGCCTGTTAAACGGCGGGCTGGTGCGGGGGGCGTCCAGAAGTAATGGCTCTGCCAAGTCCTGGGCGCCCCCCCAAGTAAAGCACCGCGCAGTCCACCGTGTGGTTTTAGTGCGGTAAGCCCAGCGGTCGCAACGTTAGCGGCCGCACCCGATCGCCATTAGGGGGGCAGTCCCACATAACCCGGGCCACTTTGTAAACTCCCTTCCCAGAGGGGGGCCCGGGTATCCATAAAGGATTTCCACACGT